TTTTATAATTTCTGATGTCTTGGATTTTAAAAATTACAAAAAGGGACACGAGTCCATCTGGATGATAGGTATATGGAGATTCATCATACTATTCTCTCTTCCTTCAGACACATTTTTTAAAAAAAAATCACTGTGTTTCACAGGCACACGACATTTTAATTGACTCCACTTTATTGTACTTTGTTGATAGTGTATTTTTTTTTTACAAAATGAAGGTTTGCGGCAACCCTACATCAAGCAGATCTTTTCTTTTCATTTTTTCCCTCATACAGATCTTGTCAGCACCATTTTCCCCACAGCAGGTTCTCACTTCATGTCTCTTGTCTCATTTTGCTAATTCTAACACTATTCCCAACTTTTCGTAATGGCATTGCACACTTAATAGACTACAGACTAGTGTGGACATAAATTTTATATGCACTGGGTAACCAAAACATGTACAGAACTCATTTTACTATAGTGGTATTGAACCTGCACCATCTCTGAGATGTGCCTGTATTACACTGATGTTACTGTCCTTGAAAAACCCACCTCTGAAAGAATATTGCAGACACGCACACCTCTGCTTGTTGATTTTCATGATCTGATCTTGACAAATAAAATGTGGAAAATCTTCCCACATGAACAGATGGAGTGTTAAACCACTTCAAGAAAAGATTGTCATTGTGTTTAAGTTGGGGGGGGAGGGACTATCTTGAAAACACATCCGATATTAAAGTAACATCTTGTTTTCCCTAAGCTCCCCCTGCTTCTTTTTTAACCCCTTAGAAGCATTTCTAGAAAATGACTATGCTTGATAAGTCAGGTACTAATTCGTAGAGAAAATGACTATCCTCTCCTCTCTAGGAACAAGTCTGTCCTTCTCCCTCTCCCCTCTGCAATCCCACGTCAGCCAAGAACATGGATGGGTTCAAGTTATGACCTTCTAATGACCTTCAGCTCCTGATAGCCTGATTTCTTTACTTACTAAGAAAAAGAGCTGGAGTTTAAAATGGGTTAAAAGTATAGGGGTTCCCCTTTGCCTTAATATGAGCAACTCTGTACACTGGGCAAATTCCACTGCAAATGGGTGTGTGGTGATTGCCTCGGACATTTCTCCTTCTAAACATACGCCATGCCCACAGCCAGGACATTACCCTCTTTGTCTAGTGCCCAGCCCGTTAAGGTGAGAACAAGCACGCCTCTGTATGTCTAAGCTTGAGAAAGGCCTCAGCATGACTACAGCAGTGGTTCCTGTATATCACCTGCAGTGACCTCCACTCAGGTAAAAGCAGTGTTTGTGAAAAGTTACGGGGTGAACCAACAAGGAACATGGAGTCTGATTTCTCCCTCAGAAGCCATGCTGGCTAGCTATCATGCTTATTTCTAAAATCCTCTTTATCTTGTTAGCTGGGATTTTAATTTAAATTCATTTGATGTGCTTTTCCCTTTAAATGATCTGTACCCTTGTTACCTGTGCAGGAGATGCCCTATAACATAAATGAGTGTCATGCAGTGGGAATGACATTTGTGAGTCCTTGAAATGATTTTGGCAGCACACGTTCTTCAAAAGAAGACTTGTTTATGATCCCACTGACATCTTTGTATATGCAGTTTCACTCAAGTGGTGTTGGGGGTGGGGTAACAAAGCATCATCCTTCATAGTACTTTCCCTCATTCAGAATCTTAGCAGAGCCGCAAAGAGCTGACAGATGGCAGCCATCCCTACCCTTCACAGCACAACATGTTATTAGCAATTAAATGTGCTTTTATCTGATCTCAGGTCAACATAACTGTCATAGACTTAAGATTTGATGGTGTTTCTATTGTGATGCTAATACCTTGAGAGGGGCTCTCTGGGTAATTTTGCCTTACTCTTGTTATTCAGTTTCAAGGATTATAAAATGATAATAATAGCCCTGTGTGGTGATGGGTGCATTGACTAAGTCTCTATAGCTATGGCAACTCCTTGATGAGCAGCTTTATAATGTATAATTGCCAAATGAGTATTTGTTATTGTTGTTGTGGTTGGACAGCTTTTTCCAGAGTGCTCCAAGCCCGGCATTTACATCATCACAATAATCTTATAGCCTTTGGTGAGATAAAATGGGGACAGGAATTTTTTTCCCCCTATAATCTTTGCTTTTTATCTTTAGGTTGCTTTTTAGGTAATGTTTAGTAGTGCACCAGTGAATTCTTAGGGAGCCATTGAAAGCTTTTAAGCTAAAGAGTAACGTAAGCCAGTACTAAAAGTCATGACATTCCAAAGGAGGCATTTCTGCCGGTTTCTCGGCTGTTAATTATTTCACTGAATGTTAGTAGTAGAGAAATTTATACCCATTTCTTTTCTGATTCAGGTCAGTGGTTTACCAACCCCGGATCTAAGCTGGCAGCTAGACGGAAAGCCCATCCGTCCCGACAGTTCTCACAAGATGCTTGTGCGTGAGAATGGTGTGCACTCCCTGATCATAGAGCCAGTCACGTCCCGAGATGCTGGCATCTACACGTGTATAGCCACCAACCGAGCTGGACAGAACTCATTCAGCCTGGAGCTTGTGGTTGCTGGTAGGTGACTCTGTGAGCCCTTTTTCTGTTAAAGATTGAACATCAGATTAAGACATACAAAGCAAAGTGGCATTACTCATAATATTGAAAGTCAAATTGCTGGGGGAAAAATAGACTTGAGCTCTGGTAGTTTAGAGGCAAGGAATTGTGCTGTCAGCTCAAAGGTACATAGCTAAAATCCAGCATTGTTCCATGAGAGGAAGACGGGCAATCACCTCCTGTGTGATTTCCTGCCTCTGAAAATCTGCTGGAGGGTCAGCAATGAGTCGACTCTAACTCAGTGGTATACAACAGCAAAATGACCAGTTAAGCCTTAGTGATTAAGTGCTCAGCTGAAAGATTACTGGTTTGAACCCAAAAGCTCCATAAGAAACAGATCTGGAAATTTGCTTCCATAAAGATTACAGTCAAGAGAACTCTGTGGACAGTTTTCTATCACATGGGTCAACCATGTGTTGGAATCAATTTGATGGGCCCTAAAAACAACAACATAAGGTTTTACAAAATCAGAAGCAATAGTTTTCTTTACTTCAGTATTGTGTGCCTTTGAATTGGAACCAAGTCATGGCTGACCTTCCAGTGGGTTTTCCAAGGCAGTGATCACACAGCAGATTGCTCATTCTCCTGTGGAGAAGATGGTGAATTTGAACCGAGTGCCTTTGGGGTTGCAGCACTGCTTCTTACCACTAGGCCACCAGGGCTCCCTCTTTCAGTGGTGGTGGTGGTGTTATGTGCTGTCACTCTTCACTTGCTACTCATAGCGAGCCTCTGTACAACAGCCCTAAACCCTGCTCTATCTTGTGCCAATCGCACTGCCTCTGACACTCCCATCCTGATTATCCCAGTCACTGAATCAATCCACTTCATAGAGGGCCTTCCTCTCCTGCGCTGTCCCTCCACCTTCCCAAGCATGATGTCCTTCTCCAAGGACCAGTCCCTCCTTACAACATGTCCAAAGTATGTCAAACAAAGCCTCAGAATCCTTGCCTCCAAGAAGCAGCCCTGTTTAACCCTCTCCAAGATGAATCTGTTTGTTTTCTTAGCAGTCCTTGGTACACTCAATACTCTTCTCCAGCACCACAGCTCAAAAGCATCAATTCTCCTTCTGTCCTCCCTAGTCATTGTCCAGCTCTCTGATGCATAACAAGTGATTGCAAAGACCATGGCCTATATCAGGTGCATCTTAGTCTCCAGAGTGACACCATTGCTCTTCAGTACCCTGGAGAGGTCCCTAACAGCAGACTTTGCCATCACAATACGTCTTTTAATTTCCTGGGTGCTGGTGCCAAGAGTGTTGACTGTGGAGCCAAGCAAACTACAGCTGTGAACAATCTCAATCTCTTCACCATCCATCCTGATGCTGCCAATTGGCCCGGTAGTGAGAATCTTTGTCTTCTTGATATTGAACCTCAATCCATATTGAAGACTGCAGTCCTTGACCTTCTGCAGCAAGCACATTATATATATGTCAACAATCTGGAACCTTTATTATTTCTCTTTTCTACCAATAACCTGATCAAATGAAAAAAGGGCATGGCTACCTAATCTTACACAGAAAGAGGCAACATCATTGTGGGCCCAAGAACCAAACTCATTATCTTGATATTAGGCGGGGGGGGTAAGGGAACTCTGGTGGCCTAGTGGCAAGAAGCTGTGCTGCAGTCCCTAAGGCATGCGGTTCAAATCCACTGGATGCTCTACTTGAGAAGGAGGGGCAATCTCCTCCCATGCCAGTTGCATCTGATTCAATGGTACAAAAAAATTAAAAATAAATAAATAAATTTTAAGAGACAGAGAGGAGGCAGAGAGGAAGAGGGAGGGAGAGGAGAGGGGTGTGTGGGTGGGTGTGTGTACACACACTATATACATTGGTGCTCTATTGGCATAATGTGTTACATTTTATGCTGCAAATAGAAAGGTCGGTCATTAGAATCCATCAGCTGCTGCACAGGTGAAAGATGTGCAGTTTCCTCCTACCTGCTGGAAGGTCCCTATAAGCCCGACTTGACCTATTGGCAATGGACTGGGTTATATGAAAGCTTATAATGAAAATGTTTTTGTGAAGAGGCTTATACCATCCCTAAAAGTTGGATAAGTAAAGTTTTTATTTATGTTCTCTTTTTAAAAAAGAACCAAAGCAATAAAAACCACATAGTTAACTCATGTCCATGGAAGAAGGGTGGAAAATCTCTTCCCATTTGATTAACTACCTCTGAAAACCCACCAGAGGGTCAGCTATGGTTCGATTCCAACTCAATGGTGCACACACATACACACACTAAAAAAAAAAAATTAACATGACTCTTACTATGAATTTTGTACCTATATGTTATTTTTCTTTCACGTATTCTTTTTCTTACTTCCCTTTGCAAAATATTTGATACACATTTTCCAAATTGGTGTTTGTAATAACCCTCTAAGATATTCATGGAAAAATCTTTTCTTTCTCATTTATCAGATGCAGAAATTAGAACAATTAGTTGACTTTCTCATGGTTCCCAGGTATAACCTGAGGGAAGACCCAAAAGAACACATTGACTCCTAGAGTTCTTCCAACCACACTGTGCTCCACTCACTGGCCTCTTTCCAGAAACAGAATAGCAATAGGATAAAGCCTAGAGGATCTTGGTAAAATCCAGGATAATTATTCTTCTAATAGCACCAAGACGTCTTTCAGACAGAAAGATGGTCAAAATGTGGGCTGCTTGCTTTTAATACTGTATGTTAGCCAAGCCTTAAAAATGTATGTGAAGTGTTAATTTTCATACTCAGATAGTTTCAATTCCTACAACCATTTCTCTTCACACAGAAAGTTTTCCTTTTACTCCTGTCCACTGTGTCTTGGTCACACTTGTGCTTCAGGACTTAAAATTGAGAGTCCAGGGAAAATTAGTCCCTTCACGCTGCTTCAGTGAGCATGTCCACGGTATCCAGAAGCAAGATCACACCAAATCCTAGGCTTGTTTACTTGCTCTGTGACCTTCATCAAATAGTTAACATCTCTGCATCTCAGCTTCCCTGTATGTAAAATGGGAATGGCCATAACTTCCCAGGATTTTTATAGGAATTAAACCCTAAGACATGGACAAAAGCTCTTGCAAAACCAGTGCCTTGCATAACAGTGCTACAAAATGGTAGATGTTATCCTAACTGGCAAGTTGTTACAACATCAAGGCTCTTCTGTATAGTTTATACTCTTTTCATATGTGGGATCCAAAAAGGATACTAAGTTAAGTTTTTGTTCCACTTACCCCAAGACAGTATGGAAACAACACACAGGTGAATGAAAATGTATCCCTATAGAACATAGTTTCTAGATCAGAGAGCAACAAGAAGTCTTAACAAAAGTGTACATTTCTTACAGCATAAGGTCTTAAGAGACTTTTGTTGTGTACTATGAAGTCAGAAACAATTGCAGAGGATTTTCCTGAGGCAGTGAATCACATGAGAGGAGATTGCCCATCTTTCTCCTATGGAGCAGCTGGTCAATTTTAGGCATTTAAAAAACTCAAGTAGAATTGTTGTATCCTTTACCTGGCTTTTTCCTACTTAGCTTCACTCTATTTGTCACTCACTATGAGAGATAGTAGAGGATCTTCTTGGTAGAGGAAGACGTATGTCCTCAAAAATTGGTGGTAATCTAAGAGAAAATAATAAAACCTTATCTCTACAACCAATCCATGAAAACTCTTTTATCTATTAACTAATAATATTTATAATAGTATTATTAATAATCAGCTCGATTAGTAATAGACTGGTCTTTTTTGATGGTTTCTTTCCTTCAAGGTAAATAAATAATATTGGGGTGGAGGGGTTATAGCTTTCTACAAAGGTTACAAATTGGAATGTAACTTATAGGATGTGCGTTCCTAACTTTGTAGATAGCTCTTCAGAGCTGTCACATTTGGATAAATGTTTCCTTTTCATTTTCCCTTCTTTAAGTCCTGAATCCAGGAGTTCGAGACCTTCAGTAGTATTGAGCAAATAGTGAGAGTCTTTTCTGAGAAACACTAGGTGGCAGTGGTTGCCCAGGGCTGTGCATGCAATCTGCAGTGAAGTCGTCACAGATGCTCGTGAGGACCCAGGAGTCTCACAGCCTGTCAGACAAGCATTTTGTGGAGCAGATGGTCAGTGGGTTGTATGGGCCTATTAGACCTGAATTAATTGATGGGATAAATGAGTGGATGGAAAGATAGGAACCTTCACTTGGTAAAAGAATAATGCAGGGAGAGCACTATCATCTCTGCACCTAAAGTGAAAAATGATACCATAATGTTAAAGGTGTATTCAGTCAATATTTCTAAAAGCCTCAGAAAGTGTACAGGGCTCCTTTTGTATATCACTGATAAACAATTCATCTCATGTTCCCTCAGCTAAAGAAGCACACAAGCCCCCTGTGTTTATTGAGAAACTGCAGAACACGGGCGTTGCGGACGGCTACCCGGTGCGGCTGGAGTGCCGCGTTTCAGGAATGCCACCACCTCAGATATTTTGGAAGAAGGAAAATGAGTCGCTCACTCACAGCACTGACAGAGTGAGGTGAGCCCGCAGAAGCATCTCACCTGATCTGTATTTGCCCACTCTTAATGATGTGTTTGAAAGATAAAGTGTGCCTAGCATGGCATCTGTGTGTCATGATATTGATATTGTAAGAAAAAATCATTTTTACCCTAATAGATGATTTACTAAAACCCCCAACTTTGGAGAAGTACATCCTAACTTAATCTAATGGTGATTTTTTTAAAATATTTATATTTGTATCTAAAGAAGAGGTGAATCCAATTGTTTCCATGATGATAAGGAAAAGGCCTATTTAGTGGGTTTTGTACAGTCAGATGCTTGACTAGAAAATAAGTGTGCAGATTTATTCAACCTCTTGACATCTGCTCTTCTCTCCCATTAACATTAATGGGGCGAGCAGCCGCTCTAGAATAAGTATGAACCTATTATCTGCTACTTGCACAACTTGGTTTCTAATGATCTAATTTAAAATGATGCTTCGTGTCCAAAGCCACTTTTTAAAAATTTAAGACCCTAATGACTCTCTCCTTTTCTCCAGCATGCACCAGGATAATCATGGCTACATCTGCCTGCTTATTCAGGGAGCCACAAAAGAAGACGCAGGGTGGTACACCGTGTCGGCCAAGAACGAAGCTGGCATTGTGTCCTGCACTGCCCGGCTGGATGTTTACAGTGAGTGTCGCCTCACCTCACCGCCCTGTATTTATTCAGCGACATGGCAGAAATTAGACATCTGGATAGCAAATCATGTTACTCTTACAGAATCTTATAAATCTTATAAAAGTGTTTTCTTTGCTAAATGTTTCATACTGCTCTCTCTCTTTCTATTCATAGTTTCTCGACATTAATAGCGAAACCACACCAGGAGAACAGTTACCCAAGTATCACTCAGGAACCTTGAATTAGTAGCAAAATATGCATGTTGATTTCTTGTTGGCTAGTAGCTGTGGCTTCCTTACTCGAGCATTGCAGGTGTTAACAATAGGCAAAGGCATAACCACAAGGTTTTCATATTTTCTTATTACCATGTTCTGTTTAACCTTTCTTCCTACACTATAGTGCTATTATGTCCTAACACACTCCTCATGTGTGTTCCATGATGCCCTAATGCCTGCTTTTGTGGTTTAGTGAGTGGTTCTGTCATCTGTGTCTCTTTTTTTTCCATCTGTGTCTCTTAAGCAGCTGAGCAACAGATTTTCGATTGTTTGTGTATGTGTAATTGTGTACATGCATCCTAAATTTAAAGAAAGCTGCTCTTGTGGAATCTACAGCCTTGTTTGGTAGCCCTGTATAAACTACTGACATGAAACACTAGAAAAAATAAGACCCAGCTTCAAAATGTCCTTCTTGAAAATGAGATGACTTTGTGAGAGTCGTCAAGAAACAAATGGCCTCAACCTTTCTGTATAATTTCTTCCAGTTGGTTAGTGTTAAAATAGCCATCCAGAATACTTATCTGCCATAATTATATGCACTTATAGATTTTGAGCCTTTGAAGAAAATGAGATTTTTGTGCTGGCAGAGGAAGATAAGTATTAGGAAGCTTAATGACTGTTTAAAAGGAATTTTTCATAGTTCAATGTTTACTAAAAAATAAAGATAAATTATTCCTTGTCTTTATTATCTAGCTGCTACAATTTCACTACCCTGGTCAGAGAGAGCTCTGGAGGCTTAGTTGTAAGGAGTTGTGGTACCAACCCCCAAATAGGCAGTACACATCCACCAGCTGCTCTGTCAGAGAAAGATGGGAATCGTCTCTTAGGCCATTTACAGCCTCTGAAAGTGCTCAGGAAGGTCAGCTATGAGTCTCTTCTGACTTAGGAGCACGTAACAACCACCACCACTCTGGTCATACAATTTGTAATGTGTAAATAAAATGCAGAAGTATCCCTAAATCTTACTGTTTCCATCACAGATGTGTTCCTTCAGTCTTTCACTAAGAATATGTGCCCAGTATATTTCAAAAGTGGCCTTTAGTGGTGCATCCAATTATGCACTTGACTACTAGCTAAAAAGTTGACTGTTTGAACCTAGCCAGAGGAGCCTGAGGATACAGGCCTGCAGTGAGCTTCCCGAAGGTCATAGTCTTGAAACCCCTCTGGACCAGTCTTAATCTACATATGCACATGGAGTTGGAATGAACTTGATGACAACTAACAACAATATATCTAAACATTTAAAAACTTTCCAATGATGTTGTCATTAAAAATCTTTTTTCCCCCCCTGTAGCCCAGTGGCATCAACAGCCACAGAGCACCAAGCCAAAAAAAGTACGGCCCTCCACCAGTCGCTATGCAGCACTTTCGGACCAGGGACTCGACATCAAAGCAGCGTTCCAACCTGAAGCCAACCCATCTCACCTGACACTGAACACCGGCTTGGTGGAAAGCGAGGATCTGTAATCCAGCATCTGTGTTCCAGCTGAGACACTGAAACAGCCTTTGCCTTGACCAACTCTGTCACATGATGTAAAAGGCAGAAACATATCTTTGACTATAAAGAATAAAAAACCCACCACCAAAATAATATTTTTGTTATTGATATACCAAACTTAGAGTTTAAGTAGGTGATGCTAATAGAAATGTACACATTGCACAGAAAATTCACATTCATCACCCAATTTAAAACTTTAGGAATTGCTGTGATTAAAGTGGTCCAAAATGCTAAACTCAATTGTGCAAAGGCAACCACAATTTATATTATCAATTAAGTGCCTTGAAACACAAGCTATAGGTGCTACGTAGCCTGATAAGAGTGAAATGCTTAACAGGAAGCAGGTGTACCACATGTAATACTGAAGTGATTCTAAGGTGGCCGTGTATCCAGACAGCTACACTGAACCAAGTGCAATATCAAAGGATGAAAAAAGGAAAAAAAATTCCAAGTAAATGCCTTGTCTTTGCAAATTCTTTTATAGAAACCATAAGGAAGGAATTACTTGCCTTAAATTTTATCAATACCAAGAGTTTTCTAACAAGGTTAATACCTGAGTTCTTTTTTTTTTTTTTCTTTCTGCATAGACTTTTCTTTTCATGCTACCTTGGTAGGAAGCTTATTTACAAACATATTAAAAAGCTAATTTAAGTATAAGTAATATAAAATATCCTGAATAAACAGAAATATATGACAGTCCATTCCATGAAAGACATCCAAACCACCCAGGTGACTGAGGTAATTAATATAGGATTTGGAGGAAACACAGGCATGGTAGAGGAACAGGGAGGAGAAGAAGGAAAATGCTAGCAGCATAATTATATTCGTTTAGATCAAAGTACAAGAGGCAGGAGATGTGGCAGAGACCACGCTTTTTGTTGTTGTTGTTTTTCTTCCAAATCATTCTAAAATGGAGATGAACAAAAGCACTGCCCTTCACAAGTCACAGATTCTAAAGTCAGCTGGAAATTTGGAGCACACGTGCTATGGAAATTGCAGTGTCTGAGGTTTGTGTAGTGGTTGAAGAATTTAGATGTGTAGAGCAAGTTGAAAATGGATTGAGACTGCAAGCTTGGCATAAATGAGGACCTAGTCTACTTGAGGGAAATGGAGACTTTCAGAGACTCAAAAACAATTTTGTACCATGTCTTCCCCCCGTCCCCTAGTTATGGCAAATGGAAGCTCATGTTCCTGCTGCCAGGAAACCTTGCTGTAAGAAGGTGCTGAGTTCAGAGCAGTTTGTCAGGGCCTCTCAGCCCAGACTGCTTTTTAAATGCAGATGATTCTGCATCAGCTAGACTGAGTTGATTCTGACCAGACTTGATGGTTTTAAGTCGGAACCAATACATCTTAAAAAGGAGAGAAAAAAAATTTGACCTAAAATTATGAAACATAAGGCTTTAATGGTACTTGTTATAAAGAGAACACTGTATTTCTTATGCAAAACACATATCTTTCATTATTTATACTAAGAATGTTGAACTCTCTTAGATCAGTTATTCAACTCAGTATGTAGTGGTTGTTCGTGTTTTTGTTTTTGTTTTTTTTTTTTTAAGTAATTTTGTATCTGTGTACCATCCATATATTTCATATTACTGCTTCACTTGTACAGCTTTCTACTTCTTTGTAAGAACAGCAACCAACCAAGTTTTACATGATTAACAGGCTTACTCACGGGGTGGCAGATGTTCTGTGCAGAGTGGTACAAGTGTCTTTGACCACAATTGTATGCATTGCTAATATGAAATTTAAGGTATCATACAAAGTCTCTTACGGACTTATCTGTATTGTAGAATTATGACTTAGGTCATATCTTACTTGCCAAATTTTTCTGAATGTGACTTGCTAATTTTCCGGGTTTGGGATTAACTAGCATTATTTTGCCACCTTTTATGTTGTATTTATATTAAAAGAAAAAGTACTATCATACTTCTTTGGATCTTTGGATTGTTGTGCTGGTGTAATGTGGATTTAACATCAATAAATATTTAACAAATGATAGTTGTAATTTTCTGAAGCAAGGGTTTTTGTTTTCCTTTTTTTTTTTTTTTAATTGCCATAGCAAATTAGCACCAATGTAGAGGCTTAAAACCGTACCCATCTTCACAGTTCTGAGGGTCCGAAGTTGGGCTTGATGTGGCTAGGCTCTTCACTCAAGTGGTTAACATGGCTGAAATGAAGATATCAGAAGGGCTGTGTGCTTCACCTCAAGCTCAGGAACTTCCTTCAGGCTCCAGTAGTGACAGAATTCAGTTCCTTATCGTTGTAGTGCTGATGACTCCTTTAGTTTGTCAGTAAAGGCTCCTTTCAGCTCCCACAGGCTGCTTGCATTCCTTGACAAGGGACCCCCTCCATTCTCAAACTTTTTATGAGCTCCTTTGTGTCAAATCCCTCTCATGCTCTCAATCTCACCAGAAAGCTTTCAGTCCCTCATAAGGGCTCACTTAATTAGGTTAGATGCACTCAGAATACACTCCTATTCTTAGAAACAGCTAATCTGGGACTTTAATTACATCTGGAGCATATTTTGTGTGGATAACTAGGTGAAGATATGTGTAGGGAATGGGGATCCTGGAATCCTGCCTGCCACATCTGTTTACCATGTATCTACGTAAATAAGAGCCTGGTGGCATTATGGGTAAGTGCTCAGATGCTAACCAAGAAAGAGGTTTTACAAACCCACCTACAACCCAAGAGAGAAAAGACCTGGCAATCTGCTCCCATAAGGATAATTGTCTTAGGAAACTCTTTGGGCTATGTAATATTTAAATTGCTATGAGTCATTTTTTATGTTTCATGTATCATTGACTATGCAAAAGCGTTTGACTGTGTGGATCATAACAAAGTGTGGCTGACTCTGAGAAGAATGGGAATCCCAGAACACTTGATCATGCTAATGAGAAACCTAAACTTGTACCAAGAGGCAGTTGTCAGAACAGAGCAAGGAAACACTGCATGGTTCAAAATTAGGAAAGGTGTACACCAGGGATGTGTCCTGTCTCCATACCTTTTCAGCCTGCATGCAGAACAGATTATCTGGGAGGCTGGGCTCTGTGAGGAGAAGTGTGGCATCAGGATTGGTGGAAGATCTATCAACAATCTGCGATATGAAGAGGACCTGAAGCGCTTGCTGCAGAGGGTCAAGGACTGCAGCCTCCAGTATGGATTGAGGCTCAATGTCAAGAAGACAAACATTCTCACCACCGGGACAACTGGCAGCATTAGGATGGATGGTGAAGAGATTGAGATTGTCCACAGCTTTAGTTTGCTTGGCTCCACAGTCAAC